GCCTTCCTCATCTCCATGACACCCACATCCCTTGTGGATCCTACAGACCATCCATTTCTAGCCTCCTTCCCCCACTTTATCCCAGCCCACAGGGTGTCACCCCACACTAACACACAGACTACTCCTGCCAGGGAAGCAGGGAAGCTGTCAGTACATCTTCTTCCTCCCTATGTTCCTCTCTCATCCCCAGCACTATAGCAGACTTTCTGGGATGACCTTCTCTGCCTCCCTCCATCCCTTTGATTCCCTTGAGACCCCTAGCCTGTCCCAATTCCTAAGTGTCAGCAACTCCCAGTACCCAGAAACATATTTTATTTGTAATCCCCAGTGGCCACAGCTATCAGATCTAAAGAATATTTCCTGACAGGCAACACACAGTCATCACATTCTCCAAAAATAGAGAGAAAACAGAAACAAGGAGAGAAACACCCACCCAACATAGGAAAAAAAAAATCCGAAAATCAGCACCTAGACCTATAATCATCCCACCTTAATCCAGATGCCTAGACTCTGGTATAAAAACACATTAAAAATCAGCCAGGGCAACATGTCTCCAGTAGAGCCCAGCTAGCCTACCATAGTAAGCCCTGATCATTCCAACATATCTGAAGCACAAGAAAAAGATCGTAAAACCTCCTCATAGAAGATTATAGAGGTCCTTAAAGAGGAAATTAATAAATCCTTTTTTAAAAATCTGTGAAAACACAGTTTAAGAAAATAAATAAAATTGTTCAAGACCTGAAAATGGATATGAAATCAATAAAGAAAATGAACTAGTTCCTGGGTCTTTCTTCCTGTTGTGAAGCAACGAGGCCCTGGCCTCTGACTTCTTGCCACTTCCCTTGTGCCATGGCCCCCAAACGTCAATCTGTGCTCCTACCTCAGCCCAAGAACCCAAACTGGCTCCTGCAGCGAAGCTGGAGGACAAGTCAGCCTCTCCCAGACTGTCAAAGGGAGAAAAAGAATAGCAAGAAGCAGCTGAACACATTAATACAGTAAAAATGAAATAGACAGACTTAATGAACAAGCCAGTGAGGACATTTTGAAAGTAAAACAAAAATATAACAAACTCCACTAACCGTTTTTTTTTTTTTTTTTCAGAATGGGTCAGAATTGATCTCCAAAATTCCACATTTTTGGGTAATGGCATTTGTCAACCAAGTGTCCACACTGCTTGGGGAGGAAGACAAAGAGGCTCTGCATTATTTGACCAGAGTTGAAGTGACAGAATTTGACAGAAGTGACAGAAATAGATTTTTATTTTGATGAAAATCCTTACTTTGAAAATAAAGTTCTCTCCAAAGAATTCCATCTGAACGAGAGTGGTGACCCATCTTCAGAGTCCCCTGAAATCAAATGGAAATCTGGAAAGGATTTGACAAAATGCTCAAGTCAAACACCGAATAAGGCCAGCAGGAAGAGGCAGCGCGAGGAGCCAGAGAGCTCCTTCACCTGGTTTACTGAGCATTCTGAAGCAGGTGCAAATGAGTTGGGAGAGTTCATCAAAGATGGTATTTGGTCAAACCCCTTGCAGTACTATGTGGTTCCTGATATGGATGATGAAGGAGAGGCAGAAGATGATGATGAAGAAGGGGATGAAGATGAAGGTGAAGAAGATGAAGGGGAGGAGGGAGAGGAGAATGATGAGGATGATTAACAAAGATTGATGGATTCCAACCCTCTTTTTCATTTATTTTTTTATTTTTAATTTTCTTCATTCCCTGGGAGCAAGTGGCAGTCATTTCCCTCCTATCCCCAATCCTTCTTGTGTTCAGTCACCCTGTTTTTGAGGTCTCTTTTCTCAACACCATGGCTTTCAACTTTTCTTGGGGGGAAATACCTTGAGCAAAATATAATGAGAAAAGAAAAGAAAGAAAGAAAGAAAGAAAACACAAACAGAGAGAATCCTGGAAATGAAAAATTTAAGAATTCAAGCAGGAAGCACAGAGATAAAGCTTTGCCAATAGAATATAAGTGATATTGAAGTTACCATGCAGTGCTGGTGCACTCCTTTAATCCCAGAACTTGGGAGGCAGAGGCAGGCTGATCTCTGTGAGTTTGAGGCTAGCTTGGTCTACAGAGTGAGTTCCTACAGCAGGGCTGTTACACAGAGAAACCCTGTCTCAAAACAAACAAACAAACAAACGCAAAAAAGAAAAACAAAAACCCAGGAATCAATAATCATTGTCCATTGATATCTCTCAGCATCAATTGTCTCAATTCCCCCAATAAAAAGACACTGACTAACAGGATCCATCCTTCTGCAACATCCAAGAATAACCACCTCAACATTAACCATAGATATCATATCAAGGTAACAGGTTAGAAAAAGACATTCCAAGAACATGAACCTAAGAGGCAAGCTGGTGTAGCCATTTTAATATATAAGAAAATAGACTTCAAACCAAACTATTTAGAAAAGGAATGACAGTATATGCTTAACAAAGGAAACACCCACCAAAGGCATTGCAGTTCTTAACTTCTAGGCCTCCAAACACAGGAGCACCCAAGGTTATAAAAGAAACACCACTACAGCTTAAATGACATGGTGATCCTCACACACTGATAGTGTGAACTTCAATACCCCACTCTCACCAATAGATAGGCCATTCAGACAGAAGCTAAACAGCAAAATGCTGGATCTGACATTATAAATCAAGTGGGCCTAACAGATTATATATATAATATTATTAATTATTTGTTATATATAATTTCACATAGAAGAATATACTTTCTTCTCTATATGTAATGGAACTTTCTCCAAAACTGATGACACATACTTATTCACAAAGCAAGACTCAATAGATCCAAGAAATTATAATAACACCACATACCCTATCTGGGCACCCTGGATTAAAGCTGGATATTGACAACAACGGAAACAATAGAAGGTTTACAAATTCATGGGGCCTGAACAACTATTTACTGAATTAAAAATGGGCCAAGAAAGAAATTTTAAAGACTTTCTAAAATTTAATGAAAATGAGCACAGAGAATACTCAAACTTATGGCAATTTAATAGCACACCTGAAAGATCCAGAACAAAAAAGTGATGACACCCAAATGAGTAGATGTCAAGAAATAATCAAATTCAGGACTTAAATCAATAAAATAGAAATAAAACAAGTACAAGGAGTCAGTGAAACAAAGAGAAAATAAGATTGACAAACCTTTATCCAAATTAACTAAAAGTAGGAGCAAGAATATCAAAATTAATAAAATTAGAAATGAAAAGGACATAAAAGACACCAAGGCAATCTAGAGAATCATAAGAAATCCCATACTTCACCAAATTGGAAACTCTAAAAGAAGGGCATAATTTTCCCAATATATACCACTTACCCAAGTAAAGTAATTTACACAGACCTATCTATCACCCCTAAGCAGTCATGAAACATCTCTGAATCAATAAAAACCCAGAGCCAGATGATGTTAACACAGAATTCTACCAGACTTCCAAAAAGAGTTAATGCAGATATTCTTCAAACTATTCCACAAAACAGAAGCAGAAGTAACAATGCCTAATTCGTTTTAAGAGCTTACAGTTACCCTGATACTCAAACCACATAAAGACCCAACAAAGAGAATTACAGACCAAGTCTTGAGTTGTACAAGAGAGCAGCTGAGCAAGCCATGAGGAACAAGCCAGTAAGCATCACTCTTGCATGGCCTGTTTCAGCTCCTGCCTCCAGGAGCCTGCCTTTCCCTTAATGGTGGACTGTGTGTAAGATGAAATAAACCCGTTCCTCCCCACGCTGCCTTTGGTATTGGGGTTTTATCACAGCAATAGGAAACAAAGTAAGGCCCTCACAGATCTCTCTTCCTTGCCAACTGATCCTAATGACTGAGAAGTTGGGCCCGATTGGGAATCACCCTTTCCTCCTGTTGAGAACTTTCCCCTCCTCTTCAAAACCCCAGATGTCTGTCTTCTCACCTTCATCCCAACGCTCAATTTAGGGAAAGTACCAGGTCAGATGGACTCCATCTGATAGTGACCACAGGTGCAGTCTTTGTTGAAGTCGTGGACTAGCCATTGGTCACCAGAGGTCCCCCTCCTTTTTTTTTTTTTTTTTTTTTTTTTTTTTTTTAAGGCTAGCTGAACCTATGGTGACTCCACACTGGATTTCAGAGGGGCCACCTAGAGACTCAGAGTTCCAACAGAACTGGAAGAATCCCTAGCTTTGCATCACAGTGACTTCTGTCTTGGAAAGGAGGATAGAAACTACCTTCTGCCATTTTCTAAACCACTCACAAACTCAATGAGAGGGGAATGAGACTCCCTTCAGCTTTTGAAGGGAGACCAGCCAATTATAGATTGCTCTCTCTGGGTAGGAAAGTCCTCAGTTGTGTCAGCCTTTGCCTTAAAAAATCTGAAGGTTAAAATAGGAAAAGGAAGGCGAGGAGAGGCTGTGTGGGAGCTGACAGGCTCAATGATAAGAGTTTTCAACTTGACCCTACTTTCCATCTGTGATCTTGAAAGGCAATCAATACCCGCAAGGGCCAGAGTCCATATACATCTAAGCTACATTAGAATGGCCTTAGGTATTCCATTCTCAACTCTTTGTCTTCCTGGCAGAGATCCCAAAATAATAAAATAGATGTTGTTTTCTGCAACTAATTTGGAATTACTCATTTCATAGAGCATATAGACAAACCGTATTTCTCAAACTGCAGGTTGCATCTTCTGATCCAAAGTTCCCCTGTAGTTCATAATTTTCCATTTCTTGACAGTTCCTGGCTCCTCACCATTGGAGAGGCCCATCTTAGTGTTATGGACCCAGAAAAATGAATGAGATTCTTAGGTTTTGGTTTTAAGTACAACCACATGTTTCATACTCGATAGGCAATAATATGGAGTAATTTATCAGCAAACATACCTTTGGGCAACCTTAAGCCCCATTTCAGAAATACTAACACACTGCATTAGGTTGTTGAAACAAACACTCCATGGTAGTCAAGTTGACAACCAATAGCCATTACAGCAGTAAACACAAATTTCATAACAATTAGTTTATTTATCTACGCATTCTTTTGGGCTTTGTCACTCACACATGGGCCTGCATATAATTATCAGTGCAGTTTTTTGGTAACTAGCTTTTTAAACTTTCAGAGTTTTGTATTTTAATGACGAAATGAAGCAATTAAGAACTCCCTGATAGTTTCACTCATGCTTGCTGGGTGGTGTCCTGAGCTGCCCTTCAGGTGTGGGACTCTTCCTTACTCAATGTCTGCGGAGTGCATCTCAAGGCTGAAAAGGCAGTGGTTTGAAAGGCACTAGGACTGAGATTTGACCTGTTTCTTGAACTTTATCCCATGTGTTTTCTGATGCCCAACAAGGTGTGAACTCTGTGTGAAAGCCTTCCCACACTTGGTGCACACATATGGGCGCTCCCCAGTGTGAGTTCTCTGATGCCTGGTGAGGTGTGAGCTCTGGCGGAAGGCTTTTCCACAGTGCTGACAATGGTAAGGCTTATCCCCAGTATGAGTTCTCAGGTGCTGAGAGATGGCTGAACGGTCATTGAAGGCCCTTCCACACTCTGAACACTCAAATGGCCTCTCTCCACTATGGAGTCTGTAATGCTGAGTGAGGGAGGAGCTCTGAACAAATGCTTTCCCACAGGCCATGCATGTGTAAGGCTTTTCTCCCGTGTGGATCTTCTTATGGACAGAGAAATACTTAGCATTCTGTAATAGTTTACCACATTCACTGCAGCGGCAAACTTGGCTCCCCTTGTGGATTTTTATAAAAAATATCTGCTGAGCTTGCTGGCTGGCAGCTTTATTGCAATTGTTGGCTTTCCTTGCAGTGCCCCCTTCAGAAGCCCTCTGGTAAGCTTTCACATGCGGACTGTATTTAATGGAAGTGTTGATTTCCCTGCCTTTCCCTCTTTCAGAGGGCTTCAGGCGAATTTTTATATGGGGAGTGTGTTTTAAGGAAGTACTAATTTCCCCAACTCTTCCACTGTTAGAACCCTTCTGGCTAGTTCTTACATGTTTGAAGGAATTCCTCATTCCCCGGACTTTCCCCCTTTCACAGCCTTTCTGGATAATTCTTACAGGTGAAGCCTGTGCCAAGGAACTGTTTCTGTCCTTGGCTCTTTCAGCCTCAGACCCCATCTGATGATTTTCTATGGATGAACCTTGTGCCATGGAATTGCTTTCCCCAATTTTATCCTGCCTGGTGACTATCTTGTGAATTTTTATATTTACATCAGGTGCCGTGGCATGGCTATTGTCCCCGACGCTACCCCCGTCAGAGCCAGTGGCTTTTTGGTAAAGCTTTGCAGGTGCTAGAAGTGTAATGGGATCTTTGCTGTCCCCAGCTTGACTCTGCTCAGAGCCCTGCCAGTGGTTTTGCATAGAAGAATCATGCATCCTGGAATTGCTGCCATCTCTGACTTGCCGCCCCTCATAGCCCTTCTGCTTACTTCTTCTGGGTGAACCTCGTGTAACAGGAATGTTTTTTCCCTTGGCTTTCCTCTTTCCAAAGCCCCTCTGGTTAATTTTTACATTCAGGTGCTTTCTAGGAAGAAGTGCATCGAGTGAGCCCGGGCTTGTGTGCAGCTTACTTTGCCCCTGAGATGTGGAGCTTTCACAGAGCTCCTGAGGGAGGCCTGTTTTCTGTACAGTCTTCCCCTGACTTGATTTTGTGGTATGGATTCCTTGGACCTCATCTTGTGACATACTTGTATCAAAACTTGGGAAATCTTTTGGTTTTGGGTCGTGAACTGGTTTTACCACAAAACTGGGAGATTCTGGAGTTAACTCTTGTTTTCCCGATGTTTGTTCCCACCCTGAAAGAAACCAAAAGACAAGCATACTGTCGTTAAAAGTGCCAGAATGACAGTCTAACAAATGGTATTAAAAAATGAGATTACATTCTCTTCTCAAATAGTCATTCAGTCTACGGAATGACTGACACACAGTTTAGCAGCAAAACCAGGGACAAATGAATTGGTGACCAAGATGTTGGGTTAGGGCAAGGAGCGTTCTCATCCCCCAGGCAAACCCAGCTTGAGGATGCCTCTGTGTTCAAGGTTCCTACCCACACAGGGTCACACAGTTCTAGGTAAAGGTCCTAGACAGAGTAAGAGACCCTGACCCTCTACTCTGACAATGGGTAGAGCAACGAGACCTGAGGGACCCTGTGGCATTCTAAATGTAGGCATGATCTTACCCAAAGAGACCAAGTTGCCCAAGGTCTCCAGCATCACATCATGATACGCAGTCTTCTGCATCGGGTTTAGTAGCCGCCATTCATCCTGACTGAAGTCCACAGCCACATCCTGGAAGGTCACTGGCTCCTGTAATGTCATAAAAGTCTGGTGTTTATCAATGGTGGCAGAAGAAAGGCCACTGGAACATTATACCAAAGAGGGCCTCCTCTGCTTTGCTGGTTTGCTCAGAGACAATGACTTCTCAAGCCCAAAAGAGATCCACAGGGTATTTCTCTAAATCAAAGTCTGGGTCCCAAGCTGGTAGACAGATCCCCTGATTGATAAATACCTACAAGTGCAATAAGCAATTCACATCAATTATACTAGCATATGTACCAAGGCTGCACTGTAAGGGAAGCATCTCACCAGAGACCTTCTCTCTTTAGGAACAGCCTTGTCCTAGGGTAAAATCCACAATAAAGACCTATGTGGAACATTCACCTACGCTATTGTAGTTTTTATGAACCCCTAAAGATTCTTAAAAGAAAACTCTCCCACTTCACCAACTTGCCTGGATTTGGGAGATATTGAGGAGAGCCTACCTTAGCAGAAACAGAATTCGGAGCAGCAAGTCTGGGATTAATCCATCGGTTTCTTCCCATTCCCAGGCAGCACCCTTACTGGAAGCCTACTCTAGACTGCTCATTACATGAGTCAACAATTTCAATCATATGCCTGGGCCAATGTAAACCACTTACAGGGCAAGCAGCACTGGCCAATGCACTTACACACCATATCCTACAGCCAGCAGGCTAATCTTGCTACATGCACATCGCCTACTTTGTTCAGAGATAGATCTCAGCTGTGCTAAGCCCCAGCTGAGCGTTTCTGAAGGACAAGAGCTCTCTCATTCTAACTGGGTACAATGTGGCTGATACAGGCCACCTGTGGTTGCTCTGGGTCTCATGTTCATCAGCCTTGGTCCACTTACTCCTGCCTTTTCCTTTCTCTATGGCCAGGTCACAATGACAGGAGGCAGGGCTGCCCTTCACACTTTGGTTGTTGCAGAACTCCACTCAGCCCCAAGAACTCGGAAGGTTAAAATTGCCTGTCTTGTGTGAAGCCTCAGGAAGGCTCAGTGTAGAAGGGGCATCTTAGGGTTGGGCCCCTTATGACCAAAGGAACAAACGGTTTTCACTTACCTCAGGTGGTACAGTAACTGGTAAGGTGGCCATGTCCTTGCTTTTCTCTTTCAGTCCATCAGTGACCTCCTTATGACAGGCAGGCAGAGCTGCAGAAGACGTCACATGAAGGGCTCAATGGGGTGGTAGCCCTCAAGCAGGCAGATCTGCCAGTCTCTGCACCCCGAGCTGTGCATATCCACGTCCCTTGACATTCTACCTTGACCTCTTCACAATGGGTAACTAATACCTACACCCTGCATGGACCACCGAGGGATTGGGGCTTCCAATATTGACAACTTTTGTCACCTTCGCCCTCCAGCATCAGTTTCAAGCTCTAGCTTCCAAGGCAATGAGCTCCCATACTTTCTTCTTAGTGGGAAAGTCAGTTTCTATTCTGCAAGCCCTTATCTTGTGCACGGGGACCCCCTTCCCTTCTGCTGCCTGGGAGAAGGCTTTCTTTGGTCACAGGGTGTGTACCCATTTTGTGCTTGTCACCTTCAATGTTCCTGGCCAGTACTGACAGCTCTCCCAAGGACTCCTTAAGGTCTGGCCTTCCTCCTGTGCCTCCACATGCTCCACGGGCTTTCACAATGCTGATTCTGTTCTAGCTAGCATGGGACAGATGATGTGACTCAGGCTGGTCTACCATGCTACCACGTCACCATTGTAAATGGACTCTGGTGGATACCGGAGACCACAGGCTTTCGGAACAATTAAAGACTTTGCTGGAACATTTAGGGAAGAGAAATCTTGTGTTTGGAAGCCTTAATGAAGCCAGCTGAATGCAGCCAACTGAGATAAGCTGAGGGCTCACTGAAGCTCTTAGGCATAGACGTTCCATTCCTGGAGTCAGGACATCCTGGAACTCTTCCAGTAACTTTCATTCTTCTTGGAGCCACTTTTTAGGTTTTGTGAGTGACATCAAAGAATCCCAACTAGTCCACTGACCACAGATAGTTTTCTCAGGGTCTGTGAAAGGTCAGGGTCATCAGTCTGTGACATGTTAAACATAGGGTAAACGCAATTTCTTCTCATAAGCACTACTGCTTTTTTGGTGTTTGTAGATGAGGTATACATGTTGTGCATTTGGGTGTATGTGTGTTTGGGTGTATGCTGAGGTCAGATGAGGACGTCTGGCGTCCTGCTCCATCCCTCTTCACTGTATTCTGTAGAGTCACAATCTCTCATTGAACTTATAGCCAGGTTGGAGGCCATCAAACCCTAGTGACCTTCCTGTCTCCACCGACTCTAATATCGTGGTTACAGGCATGCATGATCATGAACAGGATTTTAAATGTAGCTTCTGAGGAAAGTTATACACCCAGTTAACTGTCATTAGCTGCACCTGACTCCCAAATTCTGAGCATTCAACCAAGAATGCTGTGCAGCCTAGGTAGTGTCCCACTTGTAATGATAGCTCCAACCATGTTCTATTTTGAGGCAGAGCTGTGATAAACTGCTCACATTTGAACTCACTTGTAGCCCAGGCAGGCCTTGAACTGGTGACTTGTGTCCTCTTGAGTATCCTGGATTATAAGCCTATGCCATTAGGTCTGACAAAATATATTAAGGGTCCAGAGACCAGAGCTCTGGTTCCAGCCTCACTTGCCCCAAATCAAGACCTTAACAGGGCTATGCTCTTTCAGACGTAGGGAAGAGCCCATTCTTTGCCTTCTCAACTTCTACAGGCTACCCAGACCTCTTGCCTTATGGCCTATTGGCACACCCATCCTGCCTTTCGTCACCATCTAGACATAACAGGTATCGGCGACAAAAACAGCATCCATAAACTCCACCAGTATCCTGACCATTCTACCGCCTTAGTACTGTCACGTGTGTATTCACTTTTCGTATCACATCTTTTCTGCAGGACCACAGGCTCAAGGAACTTGAGTCCTGCCTTAGTTACAACTTTATTCATAGCCCCTACAAAGAACTGGAAGGCTGGCTCTGTGTCAGGGAATCCCAAGAGAATGGAAAAAAACCAAAATAAAACAGCACCACATCTGTGAGCTTCCACTGAAGCCCATGGAAGGTTTCCATTGAGAGAACAGGGCTGGGTACCAACCACTAGGTTTCCATTAGCTCTGACCTGGTAATATGTGGAAGACGCAGCAGTTCGTGGGCTGCAGTGGGACCAACCCTCCCGCACTCCTCATTTCTCCACAAAGCCTTCACAGAGCTTCTCACCCCACCCTCCCATGGCACTCACCAGCTTCCTTAGACACCGAGGTTACATTCTCCACCAGGGCCACAGCTGCCTGGCAATCCTCTGGGTGCTGTGATTCTACCCACGCCCGCAACTTCTCAGGCAGTGCACATAGGAACTGCTCCAACACCAGCAACTCCAGGATCCTTTTCTTTGAATGTATGTTGGGCTGTAGCCACTGTTGACACAGCTCACGAAGCTGAGACACAGCTTCCTGGGGATCATCTGACTCTTCATAGTGGAAATGGCGGAACTTCTGGTGAGCGACTTCACTGTCAGTCAAATGCTTGCTTGGTTGTTGAACTGGCTTGAGGTTACCTGGACTCAGGTCTTCTCCACTTTCAGTATAGAGGGACTGAATAAGGGCATTCCGGGGACCAGCTACATCCTTGTTCAGTGTAAGGACCTCAACAACCTTGATCTTCATCAAGGGATTCTCATCAGGAAAGGACTTTATTCCTGGGTCCAGAGAAGGCCCAGAAGACCCTATAAGTCAAAACCAGAGCAAAAGCTAGGCAGGGTAGCACACTCCTATAATTGCTATACTTGGGAGCCAGGGGCAAGAGGGGATCCCTGCTAAGGTTCTAGCCAAATCTACGTATCCAGTTCAAGGCCAATCAGAGTGACAAGGGCAGATTAATCTAATAAATAAATAAATAAATAAATAAATAAATAAATAGCAACAGGGCTGGGTATGTAGCTTAGCTGATAGAAAATTACCTAGCTGGGAATGGAGAGATGGCTCAGAGGCTAAGATCACTGGCTGGTCTTCCAGAGGTCCTGAGTTCAATTCCCAGCAACCCAACGGTAGCTGACAACTATCTATAATGAGATCTGGTGCTCTCTTCTGGCCTGCAGGGACACATGGAGATAGAGCACTGTGTACATAACAAATCTTAAAAAAGGAAAAGAAAAATGAATATTCCACAGCATTCGGGAAGCCCAGAGTTCAAATCCTCAGCATTACATTAAAACCAAGCAATGCAATGCACACCTGTAACCCAAGCATGTAAGAAATAAAGGCAGAAAGATCGGAAGTTCAAGGTCAAGCTTGGCTACATAGCAAGTTCTGGCCAACCTGGGATACTTGAGACCTAGTTCCATATACATGTTTCAAAGAGCACAAATACTGTTTTATTCAGAATATGAGGAGCTGGCTCATTCTTACAAAGTACTATTGTTAAGTTATACACATTGCAGAGTATCTGCATAGATTCCCTCCCTTCCTGTACAGAGTTTTAACTCATGTTTTATTTTGTACATCAGTTGTTTGCATTTTGCATGTTTGATTTTTTTCCTTCTTTGTCTGGGGCCTAGCCCACACCAAAGGAGTGCTCAACTACTGAGCTATAGCAAAAATTCTCTTTTGAGACAGGGCAGCCACTCAGGCTGGTCTTGAACTTCTTGTAATAGAAGACTTTAAAATTTGGATGTTCTAGCCAGGCAGTGGTGATGCATTCCTTTAATCCTAGCACTTGGGAGGCAGGGGCAGGTGGATCTCCGTGAGTTAGAGGTCACCCTAGTCTACAGAGTGAGTGCCAGGAGAGGCTCCAAAACTATACAGAGAACACTGTCTGGAACACCACCTCCCTCCCAAAAACTCGGATGTTCTACTTACCTCCCTAGTTCACTAACTCCAGGAATCCACCATCATACCTGTTTTATGTGGTGCTGGGGATTCAACCCAATACTTTGTGCATGTTTGGTAAACACTTTGCCAACTGAGCTACATCTTCCCCTTCCTTTTTGCTTTTTATTTGAGGACAGGTTCTCACTAAATTACCCAGACTGGCCTTGAACCCATGCTTCTGCCTCAAATCCTCAATTAGTTTGGATTATAGGCCAACAACACCAGGCCTAGCTATTTGTTTTTGTTTTTTGCTTCAAAAAAAAAAAAAAAAGATATTTTATTTATTTATTTATTTGTAACTTTTTCAGAGGATATCTCATCACCCCCATAAATATTTGCTTCAATGCTGTGTTCATTGGTCTTAGAAATATATTCCAGATTTTCCAGTTACCCTAGTTTATAAGTGTAAATGCTAGAGAATGATACCCTCGTAAGAGAATTATGATATACGTATTTGAGACAGACAGATTGGTAGACAGATGGTATGCAAAGGTCCCAGAAAAAAATACACAAAGATGAGAAAAAATGTGTTCTTAAACAAAAATCAGAAAAGCATGAACACACACTACTGACCTAGGATCTAGCCAAATACATGTTCACTCTGGATTCTGGACTCTCAAACAAGCCAATAAGACTCTGAACCCTCAGGTCTTTTTAATACTCTTTGCCTCAAAATTTCCCTTTACTCCCTCAAAGCTTGGACTCACACTGAAATTCTCTTTGAAGATATACCCTTGGTTTTTGTGATTTCTTCAGATAGTTATTCACTCTGTATTACCTTAGCTCCATTACTTAGTAAATCACATTACTAATAAACTGAAATGGATAGGATTGTAGTAATGATTATTGCTCTCATTCATATCATTTAATATTTAGGTCAGATAACAGGATTAGAGAAGTTAGAAATTGCTTTACTACAGCTGTAAATTTGTACTCTTCAAATTTTATACAGTTTGTGTTTTTTATGACCTTTGACATTTCCTCTTTCTTAAGCACCGTAATACTTTCCCAGTTTGAATGCTTTTTCCATTCTCAGATAATGTCGGGGTTAAAGCTGATGATTCCCCCACAGAATACATCCAAACAGTCTTTGCCCATATGAGTCCTCTGATCCAGAACACAATGAGGACTCCTACTGAAGCTTCCAGGGATGGCCATCAGTAAGTTCTTTAACACTCAGTGGTTTCCTATTAGTGATTACATTCTTCAGAATGTATGGTAAGACTGCGAAGACAAATCAGAGAGCTACATGTGAACAGTTTCTACACCAGGCACATCCTCATGATTTCAGAGTTCTCGGATGCTAGTGTGTGGGCTAAGAAAATTTCCAAACACAAAATTGTTATGTTTTTCTGAGGAGGGTGTCTAGTGGGAGTTTTCTTAAGGCAAGACTAACTTAGGTCAGAAGCTGTTCCTGCTCCAAACATATTTCTGAGATTTCTTCTCTTAGAGTGAGTTCTCAGAGACTGAAAGATTCACACAAAGACTCTCATCCATGTCTTTATAGATTGATATCGTTTTAGCCTTCTAATAGTTAAGGAGGTCACGGTGAGATGAAATTGGGCTTTCTCATACTAAGCACATTTACTGCACATTGTTTATTTGAACATCCCCACACACTATACAAAGATGCCAGAACACAAACATATGAGTTAAAAGAAAATGTGTTCTTGAACAAAAACCAACCATGTAAACACACCACTGTACTAGGTTCTAACCTAAATTCATAGTCATTCTAGATTCTAGACTCTGAAACAAACCTGTAAGGCTCTGAACTCTCAGAGTTCTGTGTAAGTGAAATTCCTTCATTTTCTATATATGTACTCTAAAGTTTCATGTAATTATTTCCTTCATTCTCCCGATATGCTTGTTCTAGCACGTGGACATCCTTTTAGGCATACAAAGAATTAAATTGAGCAGTATCTGCTTCTTTCTCAAACAAAAGAGAAAACATTTGTAATGACAATTCAAATATATGTATAAACCTGTTTACTGTTTGAAAGTGTTGCCACAATCATATTCATCAGGTTCACTTCCTGATAGGAGATGCCATTATGTAAAAATGTTTCTCATACTGGTTAATGAAGAAAGCACTGTTGGCCAATAGGAAAGGAAGATAGGCGGGACTAGGAGACAAGGAGGAAGGAGGAAGTAGTAAGGAGGGGTCAACAAGGAGAGACCAGGAAACCAGACGCCTGCCCCAGTCCCCGGTAGGTGAAACCACGTGGAAATACATGGAAATGGGTTAATAATTAAGACAGAGCTAGCCCATAAGAAACTAGTAACGGGCCAACAGAATGATATCAAATACAGAGTCTGTGTGTTAATTGGGGCTGGTGCGGTGGGACAAGACTGGCAGCGGAAGGAAAAACCATACTCCCTACAACTTCCTGCTTCATTTTTTAATTTTTTTTTCTTTCTGGTTTTTGAGATAGGGTTTGTCTGTATAACAGTCTGGCTGTCATGGAATTTGCTTTGCAGACCAGACTGGCCTCAAACTCACTTAGATCTACCTGCCTCTGCCTCTGCCCCCCAAGTGCTATGATTAAAGGTGAATGCCCGCACTGCCCAGCTCCTGCTTCACTTCCTAAGTTGACAACATATATCAAATTCGGGGGAGAGGTGGCTCAGCAGTTAACAGCCCTGGCTGCTTTTCCAGGACCTGGGTCCCAATCCCAGCACACAGATGATGGCTCAAAACCATCTGTAACTCCACTCCCAGGGAATCAGATGTCCTCTTCTGATCTCTGTGGGAATTACATGCCTACAGTGCACAGATGTACACACAGGCAAAATAAGCATACACATAAAAGAAAAAAAAAAGGCATTTTTGGAGGCTCTCCTATGATTATGAGTTATTCATTTACTAGTTAGTCCCTTTCTCTCTTGTTCCTTTTTAAATTTCTTGACAGGTCTTACAATATTACCTTGGTAGCCTGCACGGTAATTCACAGAGATCAGCTGTCTTTTGCCTTCCAAGTGATTTGACTAAAGTTAGGTGCCACCATGCCTGGCTCATAATCTCTTTTATGCATTGCTTTTTTAATTGTTAAGACTAGTTAACTTTCAAGTGTTCCATTTGAGGAACATATATAGCAGTGCTTTTCTGAATAGCCAAAGGACAACTGAATATATGAGTCCAAACTTATTTTTTCGGGGGGTTGGGGAGGTTGAGATAGAGTATGCATCTCTATGTATAGCCTTGCTTGTCCTGGAACTCACTCTGTAGACCAGGGTGGGCTTGAAATCACAGAGATCCACCTGATTCTGCCTCCTGAGTGTGCACCACCACCACCCAGCAAGCACGACCTAATTTATTTTCCCAAGCCCTCACAAGATCTTATTCAATTAAAAGATTTCTTGAGGATGAGTGACATTTGTCTTAGAATTTATCCTTTTCTCATATTACTTCAACAACCACATACCATGATGTCATTCTAGCTATGGTGGAAAACTGAAGAGGCATGCAAGCTAAGTTGTGAAAAAAAAAAAATCCCAGCTTTTGAGTTAATCTCAGTTTTGTGCATTTTGTGCATCAATAAGAGGCATAACACACTACTGTTGGGAGACTAGTGGAGATAATTATCTCATTTAGTAGTAATATATGACATTCTAAAATCTCACATTTTTATTTCCTACACAGACCACTTGAAGTTCAAGCAAGTGCATTTGATTAGCTTAGCAAACCTCCTTTGGTGTATCTAAAATTCCTTAGACATGGCACAGTTTAAAAAGAACTTTCAAGGTGAATGCTATTAGGTAGTTCTTTACATGGTTAGTGTAAAGTTTTAGTCAACATTATGTCAGTATGGAGAGAAAAAGAAAAACCAAGTCTACTTCTTAAAATAGCTTACACCTTTAAAATATGTTAATTTCAAAAATTCAGACTAAGGTTTTCTTGCAGTGCAAGGCTGGGGATGCAGCCCAGTGGTAGAGCATACACAAGGCCTTGGGATCAGTCTCCATGACCACAAATGAATGCTTGAAATAAACATACAGAGTACAGACAAACAGCCACAGGAAATCCCTTTAGGGCCTCCTTCACCCAAGGAATTCTCAGCAGCTTTTTTGTCCAGTTTAGCTAATTACTTACCTAGATCCACTGAGTCTACCTTTGAGTCAAACACACTCCTCAATCCTCCCTAAACCTGCTACTACTCTCCCAGCAGGCACTGTTTCACCCCTAGATGCTGCTGAAGCCTCCTTCCTTCTCCATCTCTGTCCTGTGACCACTCTTTCTGCACAAACCAACCAGAGTGACCTGTTAAAAGCCATGTCACAACATCCCTCAACAAGAAAAGTCAAACTGCCATCACAGCTAATATGGACAGGTGTCTTCTGCCAACTTACCCTGCACATTTTTTATTACCTACTCCTAGTCCTAAAATAGGGTCCAGAGAAGGGGTGTGCTAAGTCAGAGACTCCAGTCCCTTTGTGTTATGGCTAATAGTCATCACCAAAGATGCCACCAGTGGAGATCTGATAGGTAGGTGTATAGTGCCAGAAGCAGTGGCTGATTGATGTTACTTCTACTGGAGAAGGAGGAGGAGAAGGAAGAAGAAGAAAAAGGAGGAAGGAGAGAAGCATCCAGTAGCACAGAGTGCTTTATAGCCAACACATAAATACAAAAGTCAGCAAAGACAGTGGATATCTCTGAGCCATTTATGAACATTAATACAAAAATATAACCTTACAGCAAGGCATTTCTTAAATGTACTATTACCACTAACCATTCAAAGGAGAAAACTCACACTGAGCACCTGGGTGGGTTCCATAACGGAAAGAGGAAGCATTATTGATTTTCATTCATTTCTAGTACTGGATGGATATTTAGTCATTCAGATGAATAGTGATGTGAGACAAGGCAGAGTCCACTACCATGCTCATCAAAACCTAGCATTTTTTCCTAGTAAGTCAGGCCAGGTATCCACTCTTCCAGAATCGTGTTTGTATATGATGATGCAACTACGCAGTGTCCAAAGCAAAGAAAAACCTAACAAAGGGCTGAAGAGATGGCTCGGTGGTTGTGGTGGTTTGGAGAAGACTGACAACCATGGCCTCATAGGTTTGAATACTTGGTCTCTAGTTGGTGAAAGTGTTTGGCAAAGCTTAGAAGTTGCAGACTTGTCAGAGGAGGTGAGTCACTGGGGGTGTTCCAAAAGCTCATGTCGCAGCTAGCTGTCGCTCTGCCTCCTGCTTGTGGATCAGATGCAAGCTCTCAGCCATTGCTCTAGCACCATGCCTACCTGCCTGTGGCCACGCTACCCACCATGACGGTCATAGGATAACCCTCTGAAACTGTTAGCAAGCCCCAAGTCACATGGAATTACAGGGTTTTGAAGTGCTGTGCTTGGTTTTGATCTTGCTTTGGTCCAGTATTTCCTCACTGTTCCCCTTTTGGAACGGTAATATACTGTTCTATACCATTTATACATTGGAAGCATGTAACTAGCCTTTTGCATTTAATGGGGGGTTACAGTTCAGAGAGTTTGAACTCCTTTATTCTAATTTAAAATTTTATTCATTATTAAGTTTGGCTGTGAGTGTGTGTGTGTGTGTGTGTGTGTGTGTGTGTGTGTGTGTTAGTGCAGTGCATCAGAGGACAGCAGAGGGCATCAGATCCCATAAGTCTGGAGTCACAGAAGGTTGTGAGGCAGCAACCATGTGGGTGCTGGAGATTGAACCTAGGTCCTCTGCAAGAACAGCCAATGTTCTAACCACTGAGCCATATCTCCAGCCCACAAGACTTTGAAAGACTATGGGGTGCTTTGTAGTTGGACTGAATGCATTTTGTATTATACTACCATGGGCTCATGGGGCAGGGGGAGTAGATTGGGTGATTTGAATGAAAATGACTCCCACAGGCTAATATCTCTGAATGCGTGGCTCCCAGTTGGTGACCTGTTTGGAAAGGATTCGGTGTGGTCTTGATAGAGATGTGTTAATGGGGGTGGGTTTTGAGGTTTCAAAGGTCCATGTCATTCCCAGATATCATGAGCTCTGTCTTGCTTCCTGCTTGTGGATCAGGATGTAAGCTCCCAGCTACTGCTCCAGTGCCTGCCTGCCTACCTGCTGCTGTGCTCCTCACGGTGATGGTCATGGACGCAGCATGTGAAACTGTAAGCAAGCCCTCAATCAAATGTTTCCCCTTGTCCTCACAGCAGCAGAAAAGTAATTAAAACGCCAATGTTAAGGAATGTAGCAGGATGACAGTCTCATCTGAACAACTGTGCAAGGCAGGATTGACCAAGACAAGTAACAGCAACAATATGAGTCTAATCAAATCTAATGTATAGTCTAGCATGATATTCTCAACTAACTCAGGTAAGCTGGTAATTAACCCAGAGGACCTGATGGCCAAAGACATCCTAATTGTTTTATTTTATTTTTTTTAATTACAACAGGAATGAAAATTTATTGATGTTCACTAATATACAGTAAAATGTACAGCATTATGGCATGCATCCGCAGAAGAAAAGCACAAAAGATCAAAGCATGAGAGCACAGAAGAGGCTTCTACTATGACACAGTAATTTCTTTTATGGAAAGATGGTATTTCCAACAAATACAAGAGTCAGTATATGTCTACCACATACAAAGTGAAAATAGTTAACAACAAAAGAGAAAGTTAAAAATGCTTAAATTCACACAGTATGCCTAAGTGGTTAAAAAGAACAAAACTAGAAGAGAAATAAAAACAGGAGCCAGTATAGTTGCACATGTTTGTAATCCCAGAACTTTTAAGGTAGAGTGATGATCAGAAATTCAGTTATGTATTAGGCCGGAGGCCAGCCTGGGCTACATAAGACCTTATCTCAAAACAAAACAGAAAACCAAAACAACAAAATTTCCAACACAAACACCACTACCACCTCCGCCCATAAACCCCAAATACTATAACCCCTGGCCCAAATAAGGACGGCGGGGGTGGGGATCTTAGTTCAGTGATAGCATGTCTGATCATGTGATCATGCTGATCATGTGAAAAACCCTGGGCTTAATCACCCACAACATGGAAAAGCGACTGCAGATTGGAAAGCAACACATACAAATTACAACATGCTCCCTGAGTTCTCATGCTCTCTATCACTGAGAAGACATTAGTCTCAGAGAAATCAGGAGGCCCATCCCTTTCGCCAACTCCCACTTGCCTGGCTCTCACCTGGAAAGGTATCCTGAGGAATCTCTCTCCCCACTGGCCAGAAGTCCTCTACTTCTTCTAACTGAGAGATCACATTTGGCTTGGAAAAGTGGCGTTCTGCTCAAGGGAAAAGAGACAGGGCTTGGGGAGTCTGCTTAGAGGAAACGCTGTCCTGCTGAAGCGCTCTATCCCCCTCCCCCTGTGCTGTGATATGATGACTTTAAGCCTTGGGCAGGGACAACTACACGGCCATTCCTTTTGTTGGGTTTCTTTGGTTTCTTAGACAGCAGAGGAACCATAAAGTGAAAAAGGGAGATTGCTCAATTGGGGGACACCCTGGGGAAGTTTCTGCTCCTTTGCTAAATGTGACAGCCGAGACTGAACTGGTCAGGACTATCTTCTTTTCTTGTGTCTGCCTAAAGATAGACATGAAGCTTGGAGCCACAGCTATGCAGCAACTAGAGAGGGCAGAAAAATTCCTAAGAACCATAAAGAAATCACAATCTTTGATGATATCCCTGAGCTCCTGGACAGTGACATCTCATAGGCTGAAAGTGCCATAAAAATTACAGGCAAATGTCACCGAAAGTAGGCTCTGCCCAGTATTCAGGGGCTCTGATACATAGATTGGGCCAAACATACGATGTTATACTGAAAAGCTGCCTTTTCTTTTCTCCCAAGCTCTCCACTGCCATAACATTTCCACTCTGCTCTGTCCAGTCTAAGCCTAAACAGTTCAGTGGCACTACACATTAGAAATTAAAAAACAAACAAACAAAAAAATGAGTGAGGAGGAGGGAGGTGGTAGAGTCAAGAAGACTGGCCCTGAACTTCCAATCTTCTTCCTCCTCCACCTCTGGAGGGATGGAATTACATGTGTGTATCACCCACCCAAGGCCCAAACATTTTTATTAAAGTGGAGGCTGCCTTACCTATTGAAATCATGTTACTGTAGTTCTCCAGCATGACTTCCCTGTATAGGCCCTTCTGCTGGAGGTCCAACTGTGCCCACTCTTCCTCGGTAAATGTCAGTGAGACATCTTCAAACTCCATAGGTTCCTAAAACCCACAGGATGTTGTTCAGCCAGGGATCTTCCTTTTCCACAGTGACAGAGAAGTGGGAAGGCTAACCACGACGGGCCAGCAACATTCTAATGGTCTCATCTCAAGTTCTTTTGTCTGAATTCTTGAGCATATTGCTCTGACTCTACTCAGGAGGGTGCGTGTGACCTCCAGTCTATGGAAACCTGTTCATTTCTCATTAACCAGGGGACAGGACTGCTGGTTCCCATCTACACCGCTTTTCTTGTTAATCCACTGTCACCTCCTCAAAGTGGTTGCTGGAAACTAAACACGAGCCTACTCTCTTCTCAGACTTGTCAGTTTCTCCCCCGATCCCCAAACGGGGGGGAAAAATAGTAAAAGATAGTTGAAAGGAACTGGCGAGGCAGCCCAGTGGGTGAAGACGCTTACTACCAAGCCTGAGTTTGATTTTCGGGGCCCATATTTTGGGAGGAGAGAAGCGATTCGTACAGCTGCCGTCTGTCCTCTACAGCAGGCAGTGGCACAAACGTGCATTACACCCCCACACTAGATAAATGTAACCGAAAAGCCTCCCCCTGGCCTGCAGGGTCCCCAGCTCAGAAACTGGTTTGTCCGTTTCCTTCTTTCTGTCTAAGCGCCCTCTTGGACAGCGAGGCAGTCCTCCTCCTCCTCCCTGAACTCTAGGGTGTTCGAGAACGGATGTCTGGCAGCAGCCGCAGCCCGGGCCGCGGACTAAAAGCTCCAAGAAGCCTCTACTCACATGGGGCCAGGCCGTGGGGAGCGTGGAGCTCATGCTGTCCTCGAAGTTGTCCCGCGGGGTGGGCTGCGTGCTGGGGGAAATGAGGGTGGGAGGGGGAGAGGGGGCTGAGGGACGCGCCCAGACGCTCGGCACCTCCGCCCTCAGCCGGTGTCTCGGCGGGACGTGACCGGTCCAGCCCCGCATGGGGAGGGAGAGGCCCAGCGAGTCCGGTCCCCGGCTCCCAAGCGCCTGCGACAGCTGCCCTCCACCCGCGAGGGGACAGCTCTCCCGATGGCCTGCGCCCCAGCGCGGCCGCTGCCCTTAGACCGGGTCCCACATCGCGATGCCTGCCCCGGTCCGGACCCACGACTGCACGGCTCCTTCCGGGAGGCTCTGGCTCCCGAGCCTGTAAAGGACGGGACCGAAGAAGGGAGCTGTCCCCGACGGGTGTTCTCGCAGCTCAGCGAGCGCACGTCAAAGACGCAATGGCGCCCGCCCGTCGGTCCGACCCCGAACTGCGTCAGCTCGCAGGTCCGGACTACAACTCCCAGACGCCCCCGCGGGCGTCGAGCGGCGGTCCGTCCTGTTGGCGGCGAAGCCCAAGTCCCTGGGAGTGTGTGGCTGGCGACCAGAGATCCAGGAAGAAAGTTTTGAAGGAGGAAGCTCGGCCGCTGAGCCCCAGCACCTGTGTGCACCGAGACCGAGATTCATAAGGTAACACTCATATATGTATGCACAAAACTGCAATAACTTAAACAATATTGGGATAAAAGATTCTTTAACAGAATCATGAAAATAAAATGCGAGGTTAATTTGTTGGGACATGCAGAGGACTTCTTGACATATTTGAAGATAACTTTAGAGATGCCTGAATTAACTTAAATAGATGAAAATGCTTCTGTTCTAGATTAGAGGCCAGTGTGTGTCATGTCTTCCCTTCACAAGATTCAGTAATATTTCAAATACAATGGGGCTTTGGAGAGGCTTGGCATCTTGGGCTTTGTTTTGTTCTTTTCCCTAAAAATGTGATGGGAGGAGGGAAAGAATCTACTCCTCCCCTACACAGGAATGGTTTGAATTGGGTCCAAACTCAAGGACAAAAGTCCACAGAAATTACTTCTTCAGAATTTTGTGTGTGTGAGTGTAAGTGATGACTCATCTTGACCGCCCCAAAAAAGACATTTGATGATTATATTAGTCAGAGTTCTCCAGAGGAACAGAACTGATAGAATGAATCTGTCTGTCTATCATCTCTCCATCCATCCATCTAAAGGGGATTTATAAGAATGACTTACAGGCTGTGGTACAGCTAGTCTAACAATGGCTGCCTCTTGGTGGAAGGTCCAAGAATCCAGTAGTTGCTCAATTCACAAGACTGGATGTCTCAGCTGGTCTTCAGTATACATCAGAATTCTGGAGAAGCAAGTTCTAATGTTAGTGAAACAATGGATTTGAGAGAGAGAGAGAAATAGAGAGAAAGAGAGAAAGGGAAAGAGAGAGAGACAGAGATAGAGACAGAGAATAAGATGCAGAAGTTTTTAATGAGAGGAGTATCTTTGGTGTTCATGTGTGAGACTACCTTACCTGTCCCTTCTCCAGGTACCCAATTAGGAATCCATGGATGAGGATGCTCAGCAGTGCAGCATGGGTGAGTCCTCAGTGTAGCCATATGAGTTCACTGTGATTGTGATTAACCCACAGACCTATTAGCTACTCTGATCTGAGCCACTCACTGAAAGGTATCTTGATGGCAGTTGGGTTAAACGAGTGAACACAAACTGGGAAGCCCATAGTTTGTTTAAAGATTTGGAAACTACACTAGGTCAGTAAATGGCCCTAAAGATGCAAGGCCCTCATCCCTATAACCTGTGACTGTTGTCCTCATGAAGGCCCAGAGACTTTGCATATGTATTAAATGTGTTCTGATAGGAAGATCATACTGGATAACCCATGCAGCCATGTGCCTTTATTAGAGGCAAGAAGAGAGATTTGAATACACACAAACACAAAAGAAGGTGTTGTTACCACAGAGGCAAAGGTTAGAGTCATGTAACTGTAAACCAAGAAATTAGAGCAACCAACAGAAGCTAGTAAAGATGTGGAATTTTTTCTCTCCTGAAGCCTCAGTATGGTGCATAGACCTGCCAATTTTTTTTTTTATTTCAACCAGTGATACTGATTTATACTTATGGCTTCCAAAATACAAGAATAAATTTTTATTAAGGTTTATCTCCTATTTTAAGATACCAAGTTTGTAGTAATGGAATTAAAGCAGCCATAGAAATGCTAAAGAAGTACATTCTGTCCTTGCTGGCAGCTATAATGTAATTGGGAGCTAATTTAAGAACAACCAATAGAGGAGGCTAGAGAGCTATCAGTGGTTAAGAGTACTTGCTGCTCTGTCAGTGGACATGGGTTCAGTTCCCAACACTCACATTGTGGCTCACACTCGTTTGTAACTCTGGTTCCAGGGGATCAGAAACCTCTTTTGGTCTTCTTGGGGAGTCAGGTATACAAGTGGGTAAAACACCCATATATATGAACAAAAAAGAATAACCGATGTGAAGACAGCCTAAATGGAAGTTGGAAATTGAGTGTGTGTAGTGATTGCTGATCTGCTAGATCACACTGATGTTATAGCTGTATTGGTGATCTAAATCTCCAAGCATATAAATGAAAAATTCTTTGATGGGGTTAGACTGAGGTAGGCTAGTTATTAATAGTTATATAATCTTGCTGGGAGGAAGTGGCACACGCCTTTAATCTTAGCACTTGGGAGGCAGAGGCAGGCTGATCTCTGTGAGTTCGAGGCCAGCCTGGTCTACAAAGCGAATTCCAGGACAGCGAGTACTGTTACTCAGAGAAACCCTGTCTTGAAAAACCAAAACCAAAACCAAAAACAAACAAACAAACAAGCATTCAAAAAAAATAGTTACAGAGTCTCACTCACAGAACAATAGTAGCAGATCCATTTTTGTGTTTGCTTTTGGTTTGGGGTTGTTTAAGGCTGCCACATGAAGCACTGTGCCTCATTAATTGGCATTTAGTTTTAAATACTTAGGTATTTTAAAATTATGTGTGTGTGGAGGCTGTCTTGGGACTCGCTCAGTAGACCAGGCTGGCCTTGAATTCACAGAGATCCACCTCTCTCTGCCTCCTGAGTGCTGGGATTAAAGGCGTGCCAGTTTCTAAACTGTTACATAGGGGCTTGAGAGAGGACTCAGTGGTTAACTGCAATGGCTACTCTTACAGAGGACCTGGGTTCCATTCCCAGCACCTACATGCTGGCTCAGAACTACCTGTAATCCCAGTCTCAGGTCATCTGACACCCTCTTCTGGTTTCTGGGGGCACCAGGAATTCCTGTGGTTCAAAGATATACATGTAGTCAAAACACCCATATATACAAGATGTGTTTTTTTTTTTAGTCTCTCTCTCACACACACACTCACACACACACACACACACACACGACATAGAATGATACATGATATATATACATATATATATACATATACATACATATATATATACATAAATACATACATATATATATATGTAGTGACAGGTATAAAATCCTTATCTTTGCAGCTTATTGAGACAGTGTTTCATGTAGCCTAGGTTGACTTCAAATTACTGTGTTACTCAGAGGGCCATGACCTCCCCCTGATCCTCCTGATCTCCCTTGTACTGACATTAGAAGCCTGTGCCATAACCCCCAGCTTCAGTGATATTCTGAGAATCTATTTTTACTTACGTATATGAGTGTGTGCCTGTATGAGTTTGTGTGCACCAGATGTATCTGGAAGTCCATGGAAGCCAGAAGTTGTCGGGTCCCCTGGAACTGGAGTTACAGGGAATTATGAATTACTAGGCATGGGTTTTGGAAATGATCCCAGGTCATCTTCCAGAGCACCAGATGCTTTTATGTGCTGACTCACCCTTCTAACACCTATCAATGAGGTTAAATATAGAAATACATATGTGTCCACCACATAGGTCACAACTGCACAACTTCCAAAACCCTGTACCACTTCCTGGACAGTATAAAGGTAACCACCATCTTGATTATCCCCCTTTAGGTTTTCCCTTTCTTGCATCTAGCTTTTTCATTCAACAGTGGTTTTAACTTTATGATAGTTACTGTATCAGTAGTTCATTCTCTTTTGAAAATGTGTATTTATTGTATATGAGTTGGTGTTTTGCCTACATGTATGTTTGTGTGAATGTGTCAGATCTTGGAGTTACTGAAAGTTGTGAGCTGCAATATGGGTGTTGGGAATTGAACTTGTATCCTCTGGAAGAGCAGCAAGCACTCTTAACCACAGAGCCATCTCTCCAGCCTGCAGTAGCTTGCGCTTTAACTGCTGTGCAGGTGTACCACATTCTGTCCATTTTATTATTTAAGAACTTTTGGAGTGCTTATCATTTTTTTCTCTTAGGACTAAATGTTTATGGACAGCACCCTTTTTATGTTTCTTTTGGGACATGGCTCACATATTATGAGTTATTACTGTTATGTTCTATTGGGGGATTTCTCCTGGAAAGAAGATAGTTTTTGAATCTTCGCCAGCTTGAATATGTTTACTCTCATGTATGAATGCTATCTTTGTTGAGCACAATATTCAAAATTATCATTCTTTTGTTACTGTAATCCTTTCTTGTCCTCTAATGCTTAGGATTTCTGAACAGAAACCAATGCTGTCTACTCTCCAGTGATCTGTAAGGGCTTTGGTAGAGGTTATCATTATTCTTGGCATCTGAACACTGTAAAGCAATGGAATGCCTTTAACTCTGTCTAGATATTGGTCGTGCTTTTGAACTAAGAAGTTTCATACCTAATACAAACAGTGTAATGCCACTGACAGTGCATTCATAAGTGTATCATCTCTGATTTGTTTGCAATGAGAAAACATAGAATATGCAGGGGAAATTGATGGTACAACCTTTAGCCCTCTTCAGATATTTTAAAATCATATATATATATATTAACCCTGAAGAATATGTTAAGGGATATATGATTTCTGTATGGGTCTTTAAGGTTGGTGGTTTTCCGAATGTCTATGATGAAGAAAGATATTTTGTTACTTATAGCATTTGCATGTAAATTGATTATCCATTGCAATCGTTTTTATCAGACATTGCTCATCAGATCAGACCCTGAGCCCCATTAGGTTTGCTTTTTGAGGTAATTCTAAGGGACATGTAGTGAAGAACTGTCTGTTACTAAAGGAAGCCATGTGGACAGTCTTCATGTATTTAATGGCCCCCAAAACC